AATGATCAGAACGACGATTCATGTATCAAGAAAATCCTTTATAGTCTCAAAATACTTGGGCCTTGGCAAAACCCTCTCACACGCTACCTCGTTTACTTATCCAAACCACTCTGCGGTGTAGGGATTATCTTCATTTTAAAAACAAGAAAATTCTATTCAGAGGGATTCAGAGTCTTGCTTCAAGTCATGGGACTCTCACGTGAACCTCCTCACTCTAAACCCGAGGGCTCTCCTCACCAGGCAACACGGCCGGGCACATAGCTGCATTTCGGTTGATAATCAAAATCTGGTAAGAGACTCAGCGACTTGCAGAGCCAAGCAGGAAGCGTGGGGTCAGGCCGTGCTTTAACCCCAGGCCTGGGGGCAGCCTTGCTGATGCTGGTCCGAGAATCTTCCGTTTGCAGCTGTCAGGGTCCTTGCTGGGCCTTCCTTCCGTACCAGGAGGAGATGATGCTAAAACAGTTAACAAAGGAAGCTTCTGGAGGCGAGGTAACATCGCAAGAAGAATGTGAGGAAGGCAGTATGGAACCAGGCCCGAGGGACACAGAAGGGCAGAGGGCCGTGAGGCGGGCTGGTGATGGCCTCGGCATCCACCCAGCCCACGCGATCCTGTAAGTCGACCTCTAGGTATCTGTCCAAGTTCCTGCCTTTGCAGCTGATGTTTCCTCCAAGAGTTCTGAGCAGAGGTGATAATAAAGCCTCACACGAGGAATGAAACGACCCAAATCTCCCCTGAGTTGGCATCAGGGGCTCAGCAGATCTAAAGGGATTTCTGCAACTGAGTCTTACTAGCGAGTCTCACTGGGCTAGTTTAGAGGAGAAGCACAGAGCCTGGGATTCCAGCCTGGATTTAATGACTTGTTCACATGTCTGCCTCCCCCCACTGAATTGGAAGGACAACACTGAGCCTTATTCAGATTAATAGAAGAATTTAATCAACATATTAAATTGAACAAACTAGACCTGGCTCTACCTCAGTATGACTTTAGACAGACTCCTGAATGTCTCCAGGCCTTAGCTCCTTCAGTTTTCAAATGGGAATGAAACTATCTGCCCCACTGACCTCATCTGTCATGGGGACCAGATAAGTAATGAGCAGTAATTTTTAAAAAGATTTATTTATTTATTTTAAAGAGAGAGGGGAGAAGGGCAGAGGGAGAGGGAGAAAAAATCTTAAGCCAACTCCACCCTAAGCCTGATGCAGGTGTCGATCTCATGACCCTGAGACCACTACCTGAGCCGAAACCAAGAGTTGGGACACCTAACGGACTGAGCCACCCAGGCGCCCCTACATGTGAGCAGTATTAATGCTTTCTAGTCCCACAGAAATACAAAGGATTAATTTGAGCACTTATAAAACAACTTGCAGGTGACCCTGGGTTGGATATATCATATACGTGGGAAATTTCCCCCCCGTTATTTTTCTGTCAAAACTTTCACAGTAGACCCTCTTAGGGAGTATTTTCTGCCTCACTGATTCGACCAGCTGACAGGTAGTAGCAGGCCAGTGAAGGGAAGTTTTCTCTGGGACAGCGAGAGCCTGCTAGGTGTTCCTCCGTCAGTCTAGGTGGGGCTGTCAGACAAGGTAAAAAGCACAGGAAGAGCCGTGCGCCTTCAGGAATCCCAGTGTTCTTCCTGTTGACCATGGGCTTATTTCAACAAAAGACTGGGAAAGGGAACATAGCTATCATTAAAAAAAAAAAAAAAAAAAAAAGCAAAAAACCAGCACTAGGAAATTTCATTTTTAAGGAACTTATAGGCATTTGCGATTTTTCTCCTCTACATGTGGGTAGCTGCCCCTGTCATGGGACCAGCCAGTCCCTGGGCCTTCCCTGAGCAACCTGAGGGAGGGCTGGGATCTCTCCGCTATAGCTCTTCTGCACACAAGGGCCCTGTGGCCCAGAAGGTCCTGTTCAAGTATCAGGTGCTCTGTGGGAAACCACACACAACAGGTCGCCCTGAGACCCGCCAACACCTGGACCAGGTGAGCACATCAGCTCTCCATCTGGAAGCCATGGTTGGGTGAGAGGGAGCTCTGCTGGGGTGGAAAAGGCCGGGGCAGCAGAGAGCCCAGGGGCATGGAGGCTCACTGATAGGGTGAAAATAAACATCACTCTTTCTTTTTTTTTTTTTCAAAAATCTTATTTATTTATTTGAGAGAGAGAGAGAGAATGAGAGAGAGAAAGCATGAAGGGGGGAGGGTCAGAGGGAGAAGCAGACTCCCTGCCGAGCAGGGAGCCCCATGTGGGACTCGATCCCGGGACTCCAGGATCATGACCTGAGCCGAAGGCAGTCGCTTAACCAACTGAGCCACCCAGGCGCCCAACATCGCTCTTTCCTGTATTCCAACACAGACCCAGTTTTCCCATTTAGTTTCTTGTCACTTACTGTTACCATCGTATGGACCTCTCTCCCTCCCTCCCTCTTTCCTCCAACAAGGAACACCTCCTCCGTTCCAGGTCCTTGTACAGCACTGAACCGGTTACCAAGATAACTGCAAAGACCTCAGTCTCCTCGGCGACAGGTAATCCTACTATGGGATACCTTGTCTTATTGCTTTATTGTGCTTCCCAGATACCATGCTTTTTTTTTTTTAATTGAAGGCTTGTGGCAACCCCGTGTCAAGCAAGTCTACAGGCATCATTTTCCAACAGCATTTGCGCAGTGTCTCTCTTGGTGTCACATTTTGGTGATTCTCATGACAGTTCAACTTTTTCATCATTATTATATTTGTTATAGTGATCTGCGATCTTTGATGTTACCATACCAATTGTTTTGGAGCACCATGAACCATGCCCATATAAGACACATGTAATAAACATATTATTATATACAACAATAAATAAATATTGTGTGTGTTGACTGCTCCACCAACTGGCCATTCACTACCACCCCCTCCTTGGGTCTCCCTGTTCCCTGAGACATGATATTGAAATTAGGCCAATTAATACCCCTCCAATAGCCTCTGTATGTTCAGGTGAAAGGAAGAGTCGCCTGTCTCTCACTTTAAATCAAAAGCTATAAATGATTAAGCTGAGTGAGGAAGGCATGTTGAAGCTGAGAGGTTGAAAAAGCTAGGCCTCTTGAACCAAACAGTGAGCCAAAGCTCTTGAAGGGGGTTACAAGTGTTATTCTAGTGAACACACAAATGATTAGAAAGTGAAACAGCCTTACTGCTCATATGGAGAACATTTCGGTGGTCTGGATAGAAGATCAAACAGCCATGACATTCCCTTAAGCCAAAGCCTAACCTAACTTATGGAGTTATCCATAAGATCCAGCCAAGATAATTAATGAAGATGGCTACACTGAACATCAGGTTTTCAATACAGACAAAATAACGTTATAGCAGAAGAAGATGCCATCTAGAACTTTCATAGCTAGAGAACAGAAGTCAATGCCTGGCTTGAAACCTTTAAAGGACAGGCTGACTCTCAGGCACTAATGCAGCTGGTAACTTTAAGTTCTGACCTACTACTTAGAAAAAAAAGATTCCTTTCAAAACATTACTGCTTACTGATAATGGACATGGGCACCCAAGAACTCTGATGGAGATGGACAACGAGATTAATCTTGTTTCCATGACCGCTAACACAACATCCATTCTAAGCCCATGGATCACAAAGTAATTTCCACTTTCAAGTCTTATTATTGAAGAAATACATTTCATTGGGCGATAGCTGCCACAGAGCATGATTCCTCTGATGGATCTGGGTAAACTAAACCAAAAACCTTCTGGAAAGGATTCACCTTTCTATTTCATCTACTCTAGATGCCATTAGGAACATTTGTGATTCATGGGAAGAGGTCAAAATATCAACTTTCACAGGGGTTTGGAAGAAGTTGGGTGACTTTGAGGGGTTCAAGACTTCAGGGGAGCAAGTCGCTGCAGATGGGCAGGAAAGAGCAGGAGAACTAGAATCAGGAGTGGAGCCTGAAGACGGGACTGACGGGCTGCAATCTCATGATGAAACCTGAACAGATGTGCAAAGAAAGTGGTTCCTGAGATGGAATGTACTCCTGGTGAAGATGCCATGAAGATGGTTGAAATGACAATGAAGGATTTAGAATATTCCAGAAACTGAGTTGATAAATCTGCAGCAGGGTTTGAGAGGACTGACTAATTCTGGAAGTTCTCCCATGGCTCCAATGGCTATCAAATAGCATCACATGCTACAGAGAAATCCTCTGTGAAAGGAAGAGTCCATTGATGAGGCAAACTCATTGCTGTCTTATTTAAGAAACTGCCACGGCCACCCCAACCTTCAGCGCCCACCACCCTGACCAGTCAGCAGCCACCACCATGGAGGGAAGACCCTCCAGCAGCAAAAAGATTGACTCGCTGAAAGCCCAGATGACAGTTAGCATTTTTTAGCAATAAAGTATTTTTAAATTAAGAAAAGTATATATTTTTCTTTCGACATAATGCTGTATACACTTCATAGACAATAGTATCATGTAAACGTAACTTCTATATACACTGGGAAGCCAAAACATTCACTGGACTCTCTTGATCACGATACCGGCTTTATGGCAGTGGTTTGGAACCAAGCCCGCAGCACCTCTGAGCTGGGCCTGTACTATGTGATGAACGCTCTGCTGGCGGTGTCGGCACACTGGGAGGAGAAGCCGACCTGCTCACCTGGAGCAGGGCACAGGTGTAATGGTGTCCTGAAGGCCAGTTGCACCCGTTAGCAAGAGCTCACTATTCTAGTGTCATGAATTTTAGGAGCTGGTTGATTTTATATGGGTAGTTTGAGATCAGCCACATTGCGCACATTTAGACCACAGAAATCAGCAAACATCACAAATCAGGTTTTCTCAGAGCTGGTCATTAAACATTTATGGGCATGCACGTACACGCCAACGTGTGTGTGCACGCGCGTGTGCATACAGACAAGTGTGCATGTGCAGAGTCGCTAAAAATCACAAGGAAATGGCCTAGCGACAGGCAGACCTGGTACTCCCTGCAGAAGGACACGTGGTCTCGGCACACTCACCAGTCTGAGGTTCTTCATCGCCTGGGGGAACATGCCTTGGTGCAACTGTAGTTTGCCCACTTTCATTACCTGCACCCCTCTGACAGGATGGCTTCCAGGGAAAAAAATCCTGGAAGAAACCAAAGGGCAAACAGGGTCAGCAGGTCTCACCTTTGTGGTCGGCGTTCCATCAGGAGACCATGAAAGGGGTGGGCAGACCCCATTGACCCCTATCGAGAGGAAGCTAGCTGGGCGGTCAGGATGGGGTGGCGTCCTGTGTTAGGAAAGAAATGACAGGACTGGAAAGTCTCTCTAATCAACACGAGAGAAAGGAGACAAGGTTGGACCTCTGCGTTTCTCTCTGGGGGTGGGTTGGAGAGATCAGTTGATGAGCTTATACTCCAGCCTCGCCTGTGAGGCTCCAGCACTTAGAACAGCCTTCGAACAGAAGATGGCCGCTCAATACATATTGAGTCGATGAATGAAGTGTTCGCGACTCCCCACAGAGATACTACCATGCCCTCCTTTTAACTGCCAAGCCCTTGGAGTTCATCATGGCCCATCTTTCGTACAGGACCTGTGTATTTACTTATCATCTCACTGGATTACGGAGCTTTTATTCCGGCCCCCCATCTGTGTTTGCCATGATGTCCTGCGTGCAGGAGAAGCTCAATATAAGCTTGACCTCTTTCCCACGTATCAGAATAGAAGAGGGTGTTGTAAGGAGAGCAAAGAATGAAAATGAAGGGCTATGCTCCAAACCTGATATAACTTGCATGTGATTCAACAAGAATTTATTATATCAGAGTCAATAAAATGTGTACAGTTTGGCTGCTTCTATCCCCCGCAACATCTATCCTTAGAGTCTACCGAACTCCTCCTGTATGTACAGGATTGTTCCTGGGGCTCGGGGCTGTTTAGCTATACGCTTTCCCCTCAAGGCCCAATAATCCCACCAGACACAAGACAAACATTCATACCACAGTTACAAAATATGACAGGAGAGGGCATGATTTTGTGCCTACCTTAGTACATGGTAATGCTGAGTTCAAGGGGATTGAATACATTGAGAGAATAATGCAAGAGTTATGAAAGAGAGAGAGGTGCCTGGTGGTTGGTTGGAGCAGGAAGGTTTTCTGGAGGAAGGAAACAGGATATAAACTGGCTCTCAAGGGTTTGGGCAAGCCTGGCTGGATGGGGAAGAGGGAAGCGCATTTACACTGCTAACATGAGCAAGGGCACACTCCAAATGCTGCTGGTCCAGAGACCACAGGTTCTGCCCTAAGAGTCATGACTCACATAGGGCTCGCTATGTGCCAAGCTCTGCTCTGACCACTTCTCACTTGTGAACTCATGGAACCACATTTAAGCTCTACTGTGTAACAGAGGAGGCAGATCTACCAGGAGACACATATTCTCTGGTAAGTGGACACACGTCTCCTCACCATTTCTTCTCCCTGAACCTCAACTCTTCCCCACACGAAATGTGATACATAGAAACTCCTTTCATTCGTGCTCTTCAAAAAGTGGAAAGCAGTCCTTGAGAGGGAGGTATTTCAATCGATAGAAGGTCGGCCATGCTTCTTTGAAAGAACTGCAAAGGGAGGGGGAGGGGAGAAACAAAGGCGACACCTGGGTCTTGGATTTTTCTTCATCGCTTGAGTAGGCCAGGAGATCAATCACTTCACCCCTCACCCCCGACAAAATGAACATCATTATCTACTTGTGTGGAAGAGATTTTAAGATCTGCAGACAAAAGGCTTAAGTACAGGACACCATTATCAGGAGGTAATAGCCCCGGACACTTTCCCTGAAAAGCACACCTGGATTTGGGATTTGATTTTATTGCTATGAATGTGGAATAATTAAATTTAAAGGCAAAAAGGAATTTTATACTAAAAATCATACCACTAAATGGATGTCTGTCATGCCAGTTAACAGAAGGAAAGAAAAATCCTCGGTTCCATGCCGGGAGAGAAAGTGGCACATAATTATGCCCTGACAAGTACCTGCTCTTGTTGCTTAAAGATACTAAACAAAAACAAAGTGAAGTTCAGTCAGGAGAGGATGAGCGGAACGTGTCTGCGAGGGGGACTTGCACATAAATATTTACGGAGCAGTGTCGTGGCTCCAGCAAGTGCTGACCGTATGCCTGGATTGTTTCTGGAAGCCTCCCAGCTGCCATCTGGAATAACAATCACGATTACTTGCTGGAGTCGCACCAAGAGCAACACCGGCGAAGCTCACTCCTGCTGGGAGAAGGTCCCCAGCAAGGGCGCGTGGGTGACCGCGATGAGGACAGAGGAGGGCCTGCCGGCTGTCTTCAATCATGGCACTGCCAAAAATGAAGGCCAGCAAAGAGTCTGACCCAGGAACGGCCTCAGGGGGGCCTAGGAGTGTGGGGACCAAGGTAGGAGTCTGAGTGGGAAGGGGAGGGCGTAGAGGAGCCTATGAGATGCTGTGTTCTGTGCCCAGAGTGGTAAGGAATGAGAAGTCCCAGGAGAGTCGCTGCCCTGGCTGAGACACAGTCTAGTTGCAGAAGTGAGGCAGATAAAATCACGACACGGAGAGGAGTGTGAGGGCTGCCATGGCACAGATGTGGGGCTCCAGAAACAGTAGAGCCCTCGGTGACCAGGGGAGGGTTCCCGGAGCCACAGAACTTGAACTGGTCCAGACCGGAAGGGGCCATGGGCTCCTGGAACGGTTGTTGGGGCCTTATAAATTCCCTTTCTGTAGGTACAATGCTAGCGATCATGCGCTCCCGAATGCTGGGCCTAGGAGGGAAAAACTGCCTTTGGTGTTTCTGCGGTGAGTAAGTGCCTAGGAAGGAATGTGTTTAAACAAGCAGAGCAAAGCAGTGGCACACATACTAGCTTTAACTCAGACCCATAAGCACCAAGATTTTGCTGCCCTACTTTGCGAGGAGGCTGCAAATCCAGAAAGTGGAATGCCTCAAGCTCAAAGGCTATTGAAGTCCTGGTGGCAGGACGTGCACTGCTGCTCCTGCTGAGGTTTCTCCACATGATGTAATTACCAATTATACCGCTTCACTACAGGTAGCAGTCTGGCACTGAAAGCAGGAAAAAAACACTGTTTGGGATGATTTTTTTTAGAACTGATGTAAAAGACATGACTGAATTTATTTTTTAAAGGTTTTATTTATTTGACAGAGAGAGACACAGTGAGAGAGGGAACACAGCAGGGGGAGTGGGAGAGGGAGAAGCAGGCTTCCCACAGAGCAGGGAGCCCAATGTGGGGCTCGATCCCAGGACCCTGAGATCACGACCTGAGCCGAAGGCAGACGCTTAACGACTGAGCCACCCAGGCACCCCAAAGACATGACTGAATTTAAAAGAAGAGCTTAACTTTCCTCTATAAACTGTATTTCACAGTAACCAAAGAGATCAAAGAATGATGGAGAATTTTATAATGGATGGATTACGTTGTTACCATCAGAACCCACTGATCAATGTTAGCATCCTTACAGTGTAAAAATCAGACATCGTGTGCTCTCTGATGTCATACAACAGGAATTACTCTGCACTACCTATAAAGCATCCTTGCCAAAAGCAAAACTGAATTTAATCAAGCCCATGCAGTTAAATTCCATTTCATAGGAAAAACAAGTGATAGAGGCTCAAATAAAAGCAACCAGCTAAACCAAGATATGGAAAATTCTACAGGACTTTGATGCAGAATTTCAACAGGTCAATGGCATGAAAAGAAAAAGATGGCAGGGGAGGAGAGCACTCTACATTAAAAGAGACTCAAAAGATACAACAACCAAATGTCACATACAGACCTTGTGTATTTGACCTCAAACAAAACAATCATTAAAAGACATTTCTGGGAATTCTAGGAAATATGAACATGAAACAGCATTGTTGGCATATAAGGAAATGTCCGCATTTTTCCAAGATGCAAGCTAATGAATGGATAAAATGATGTAATGTCTGAGATTTGATTTAAATTTCCTCAGCAGAATTTGTCTTCCAGCAATGGTGGATTAGTTCGTTTCAGACCAAACTCCTTGTTAAAAACAAGAAAAGTTAGACAAAATTTACAAAATAATTGTTTGAAGGTATTACAGACCCACTGAGGCCGAGGGATCTGGAAGAGTCAAAACTGCGGAAAGAACAGAAGCTCAAGAAGATGATCCTTACATCTGTTGCCACTTTTCCCTTTGCTCACTTGAACGCAGAGGCAGACAGGCTCAAGAGCTGAGCAGAGGTTTTGGCAGTCTCACAGAAATGGACACACAGAAACAAGCTCAGGGTGCAACAAGGATGGAAAGGAGCCCTGGTAAACATCCTTGGCTTTCATTTGTGACCCCCAAAGGGTAAGGTAAGAGTAGTAGTAGGCCAGAAAGAGACCAGCCCTCACAAAGACTCGATCTGTTCAAACCCTGAATGGATTAAGGTGATCTGTTCCTACAAACTACCAGAAGCAAAAGTAAATTCTCTTTGAAGTAAAATGTCATCCTGAACCTATAATTATTCCTGTTCAATGTCCAACTGCAGGACATTCAGTAAAATTATAACGGGGCATACAAAAAACAAAGGACTGTCTGAAAGCCAAGAGAAAAAAAACACAGACAATGAAACAGACCTATAGATACTCAACAAGTTGGGTCTTTAAACCAACAGGTCTTTAAATGTAAAAAAGTATGTTTGAGAACTTAAATAATAGAAAAGAACTTTAGCAAAAAAATTAGAAATAAAATATAACCAATGAAATTTCTGGAACTGAAAAATAGAAGACTGGAGTTCAGAACTTAAGAGCTTAACATCAGATGCATCATAGCCAAAGAAAGAATTAGTAAACTGGAAGGCAGGTCAAAACATGGAGAGGAAATGAAATGGCAAGTAAAGGACCCGGGTCTCATATATGTTAACTAGAATTTCAAATTAGGTTAGAAAGGGAATGGGGCTGAAGCAATATATGAAGCCATAATGGCTGAGAATTTCCAAAAGTAATAAAAGACAGCAAGTAACAGATTCAGAAATGCTAAGAACCGCAAAATAGAATAAAACAATTCAACAAAAAGGGGGGAGGGATAAAGTAAGTGTTGTAAAATTTTGATAATTATTGAATCTGGATGAGGGATATAAGAAAGTTCATCATATTACT